CAGTGACAAAGCAAATCATTATCCTATTATGAACCGCAAGACCAGCGGCCACCAGGAGTAAATGACAATATCCATTTCATTGTATTCTTGACAGCCGTAAGGAGTATAATTTAAGGAGGCCATGTTTATTTTACAGAGAGTAGAATATCATTGCTATATATGTTTTCTTCCTCTTTTTAATCAAAATGGAAATATCAGTATTGATTTCTCTGTACTGGTTCTGAAAGTAATACATAATTATATAGACATATATTTAAAAAATAAAATATACAGAAGCCCACAATTTAGAAAGTAGCACGTAAAGTATCTACTAGAACACTATTGAAGAGCTGGAGTTTATTTTCTGTGCCTTTTCCCATGCATATCGGTGCTTGAAAGGACCTAGTAAATAGCAGCCTTCTTCCTTGTCCAGAGTAATGAATAAATTGATAAACAAGACAAATAAATGGTATAAGGCAAAATGACTTTATTAATGATAAAGATGAGTTAGAGGATATCGATTAGTGTGGGTGCCAAAGTCGAGACCGCTAAGTGAACTCCAGAATTACTCAGGGTTTCCCTCTCAGTATCAGGCAGGAAAGACAGCGTGGAGGAGCAGAAAAGAGCTCATGTTCCCGGCAGGCAGCTCAGTTCCAAGAGGAAAAGGGGCACTGCTGAGCGAAGAATTGTCATCAAGGAGGACCCTATAGGGCCTTCTGGGACAGACCCCACCATGTCCTCCTGCCTTGTTGGTAGAAAAACTTTAGTCTCCAGGCCTTCCGAGTCACAGAAGGCTGGCTCAAGGGTTCATAATTGAAAGAATGTGAACGTACAGTAACAACAAAAAAATAGCAGTTGAGTCAGGAGAACTGGTAACAGTTTAAAGGATAAATCAGCCATATAGCAGTCATCGAATCTTTAGTTCCTCCCTGAAAGACATAGATCCCAGTATTTGATGCACATTCTTGAGTTGTTTTATAGGGACTAAAATCCCTACCAGGTGGAAGAAGTTAACGGCATGATGACCATGAGCACGCAGCCCCCGGACTGGCTGGAGCCAGAGGATTGATAACAGTTAACACCTGTGACACCGCCTTGTTTCCCTCACCATCAACCAATCAGAGAACTGTGCACGAGGTGATCACGTGCACTGCAACGCCCCTCCCTCACCTGGCCTTTAAAAACTCTTCCCTGAAACCCATCTAGCTTGGTCTTTTGTGCATGAATCGCCTGGACTCTACCAAACACTGCGTTTTCCTTCATCACAACCTGGTGTCCGTAGACTGGCTCTACTGTGTGTCACCAAGCGGACCCAAGTGTGGTTCCGTAATGGTATTAACTGTTTATTCTCCCCAACATTGCCAACCAGATGAATCACTGCAGTCCTGTGAGGCAGCGTGCATAAAGGGATACAGAAAAGGTAAGAGTGACTGAGTTTTCTTTGCATAGGAGGGAGCATTAAGAGATGTATTTTTTCCTGTAAATATGTACATATATTTTAAAGGATCGTACTTTCTGTAACTTGCTTTTTCCTACATAAATATGAATCTGTTAAATTATTTGCACATATTGCATGGTATGGTTACACTATAATTTACTTAGCCAGTCTTTGTTAAGATCTATTAAAAGTTTTCTGAAGTTTTACTACTGTTAACAGTCCTGTAACGATCATTCTTTACCACAGTTGACATACTGTCCAATGTTCCTTCTGGATAAGTTCCAAAAAGTGGAACTACTAAGTAAAAAATATGCACATTAAACTTTTTATACATACTACAAAATTGGCCCCTGGAAATGCAGTATGCGCCCACCAAGAGTTGATGAGAATTTCTACACCTTGCTAACACTAGATATTATCAGTCATTCTCATCTTTGAAAATATGATAAGCAAAGCATTGTGGTTTAATTTGTTTTGTTTTGTTTGCTCTTTACTGATTTTTTTTCCTTTTTCTTCCTGATATTTAGATGTTCTTTTTCTTAACTGAAGTATAGTCAGTTACAATGTGTCAACTTCTGGTGTACAGCATAATATTTGAGTCGTGCATATACATACATATATTCCTTTTCATATTCTTTTTCATTATAGTTACTACAAGATACTGAATATAGTTCCCTGTGCTATATGGTATACTATTTTATATACAGTACTTAGTATAACTTGTATTTCTTTGATTACCATAAAGTTTGCACATTTTTTTTCCCATGTCTTCTATCATAACATTATGATTTGACTGGTCTGCTTTGGGGGTTGTCGTATAAATGAGACATTTGGCTTTTCTTTTTCTAGTGCAAGTGCCTGACTTAATCTTTGATTGCTGAGGCATTCACTTCAAAGATGGCCTGTCCCAAATAAACAACAGTGGCAGGCACTTGACTGGATAAAGAGCCAGCCACCCCCATCTCTTTTGTTTTAGAGATCTTGGTCAATTTCAACAATTGACCATTTGAGCCTCTCTTTTCCCCACCCACACGCTTTCAATTCTCTCCCATATGTTTTAAATTCACCAATAAAGAGCGAGCCCAGAAACCCTAGGTCCCCACCCTCGACTCCAATAAGAGCAGAACCCTAGGGTACCCGTGGGCTTCCTCTCTCTCTCCCCTCAATCTCGCTGTGTGGCCACAGGTGAGCCGTGCAATTTACAAGAGCTGTAAGTAGTCAACTTTTTCTTTCTTTTCCCTGATGGTTAATTGCTGAGGGTGTCTTGCAGTCATAATAACCATAAGGACCAGTCCTACCACAACATTGGTTATTGATAGGCTGAGACCGGCACAAAACTGGTGTCAATTATTTACCAGAAAACGAGATGCCTTTAAGTATCTGAGAAGCAAATTTGGCTTTAAAACAGTGTGAAAAATTGATGGTGTTATTTGACCCAGTAGATGTATTAGGTAGATTACAATGTGTGATCTCAGAATCAATGTTTAGTCCATATATTTGTGCAATGGATAATTACTGTAATAAATGCAGACTTGACATTTCAGTTGAGGGAACATAGTGCATTAGACCTGTGTCCCAGCGGGCTTGCTGGATCAGGAGCTTAGAAACCATCCCGTACAGTGGGCTAGTTGCCTTGCTTCCAGAGCTCCACCCTTC